TATACCACCTAGAAGAATGTTTGACAGGAAAACAATTTGAACCTGGCCCAACAGCTGCAGGCCTGAGGGCCCTTTGGGCTTAAGGCTGCCTCCTGGTTCAAACCCTAGGCCTAAGCTGGATAGCCTCACTCCGGGGGACAGAGCAAACTTGCACGTCAAACACATGCTCGGAAAAGCAGTCGACTCCAAAAGCTTGCCATGATTCCTATGCTCACACCACCATCCTCCTTCCTTCTGGCAAGGAGAACTTCCCAAGACCCTGGGAGGGGCCAACCAGGAACAACACGGCTGCTTCCTCTCCTCTCCCAGCTGTCTTTGGGCTTAAGGCTTCCTCCTGGTTCAAACCCTAGGCCCAGGCTGGCTAGCCTCACTCTGGGGGACAGAGCAAACCTGCACGTCAAATACATAACCGGAAAAGTAGTCGACTCCAAAAGCTTGCCATGATTCCTGAGCTCACACCACCACGCTCCATATGGGGGAGGGGGGCAGAATTCCTCTCAAGATTCTAAGGGAGCAGGTGGGTTGGGTGGGGACCTGGGTCTGCCAGGCACAGCCTTTCTCAGATGATAAATGAGCAACCTTTGGGATCCCCTGACCGATCTGTCCCTGTCCATAAAATTAGGAATGTTTCAAAGGTCTCTCTTTCCTCAGCTCCCTGGGGACACCTGTGTAAGGTGCTGACGGCTCTGCCTGAGACAGAGATCCAAGATTCTCTCCTGCATCCTGTGATTCCTCTCTGCTCCTCATCCACACAAACAGGATTTCAATTTCTTCCCTTTCGTTGTTCCTCTGGACATTCTCCCTGCTGAAGGCAGATTCCTCCTCAGAGCCTCTAGCAGCAGTATTTATTTTTTTGTAAAAATCCCAATATTTACTCAAATATGTTGTTGTGTTCGGCTGTCAAGTCGCCTATGATTCATAGCGACCCTATGTACAATAGCCCTAAACCCTGTTCTATCCTGTGCCAATCTTATTGTCTCTGACACACCTACTCCTATTACCCCAGTCACTGAATCAATCCATCTCATAGAGGGTCTTCCCCTCCTGTGTTGTCCCTCCACCCTCCCAAGTATGACGTCCTTCTCCAAGGACCAGTCCCTCCTTACAACATGTCCAAAGTATGTCAGATGAAACCTCAGAATCCTCGCCTCCAAGGAGCCGCCCGATTTAACCCTTTCCAGGATGAATCTGTTTGTTTTCCTAACAGTCTGTGGTATACTCAATACTCTTCTCCAGCACCACAGCTCAAAGGCATCAATTCTTCTATCCTCCCTAGTCATTGTCCAGCTCTCTGATGCATAACAAGTGATTGCAAAGACTATGGCCTGGATCATGACCTAATTAGTCCAAGTCACAAGTGCAAGATAGCAGTTCGCTGCACTCAAATGCAAACTCATTGCCAGCCAGTTGGGCGCAACCCAGCTAACCCTTCAGTAGGTTTTCAGAGGCTGTAAAATGCACAGGAGGAGAGTGCTCATCTCTCTCCTAAGGCACCGCTGGTGGACTGGAACTCACAAAGGCACAGCCTCAGGATCAGCAGTGCGGTTCCCCGTGGACTGCGCCACCACAGTGTCACTCAGCAGAATGGCCTCTTGACTCATGCACGTTGTGTGCAGTGTGTCACGAGTGCCTCACTGCTTCTCAGTATTGCATAGCATTGCACAAGACCAATATTATAAAGGCTAGCGAAAGATTTACACACAGAGAGAATAAATCTAGCGAGGTTATCAGGGAGGAGACATGCGGAGCAGGATAGTAGTTGATAGACAATTAATGCTGACTGGGATGGGTGAGTTAGACCCAACTGATAGCTGACCATCCTGCAGGGTTTTGGAGGCAGTGTATCGCACAGGAGGAGATTGCCCATCCTTCCTCGGCAGAGAAGCTGCTTGCTGGATTCGAACTGTGTGCCTTCAGGATTACAGTGCAGTTTCTTACCACTAGGCCACCAGAGCGCCCAATGGGATGATGAAGGGGAGGACAAGGTGGAAGGAACCAGACAGTGTGTGTATTGTAACTGACATTGTGGAACAGAATGTGCATGGATGATTGGGGGGGGGGAACCCTAATATGCTTCATAAACTTTACTCTTTCGCAAATTATAAAAAAAAAGCAATGATGTGCTTGGCAATCTTTTATCGGCCACCTTAACCTACCAGTTGTTGCCGAGTGGGTACTGACCCATGGTGGCCTCGCATGTGTCAAGAGTGATCTATGCCCCAGGGTTTGCTGTGGCTGGTTTTTCTGAAGTAGATTGCCAGGTCTTTGTTCTGAGGGCACCTCTGGGCAGACTCTTCTGCCAGTTTTCCACTTGGAAGATGGGTGCATGGACCCAAGTGAGGAGATGGGTGAGCTGGAACTCACTCAACAGCAGTTGTTTTTCATTTCAAAACAGGCTGCTCACCATGCTGGGCGCACTTATGTGAGATGATCCTACGTTTATCTTCAGATGAGAAGTGGAAGTTCAGGGAGGTTAAGTAACCAACCTAAGACCACATAGTCAAGTCAGGGCTGGGGTGGCCTGTGGTGGAGCCAGGCCTCAGACTTCTGGCATTTCTAGTTATTTCCTGCTGTCTTTCGTGCTTAGACAGCCAGGCAAACGGTTTCATCAGGCATAGGAGATGAGGGACTAGGAGTTCACAGCACTTTTGGAAACCCACAGAAACATTTGAACTGCTTTTACAATCAGAAGAAGAAAGAATTAATATAACAAGAATGAATATAAAAGAGGGAGGGAGCTCTGTTGCACTTCTAAGCCAAAGGCCACTCCTCTGTGCTGACCTGAACCCACCAGAGGCTCCTGGGAGAAAGGTGAGTAATCTCTTCTCCTGTGGCTGTGTCAGAAAACCAATGGAGTGACAGCTTCAAGTCAGTTTTACTCAATGGCAATGACTGATACCATGATAGTTGGTAAAATTATTCACGATTCTGTTATGAAGGTAACAGTGCCTGCTGCCCCGGGAAATCCTAACTAGATCCTGTATACAGAGACTCTGTCAATACCGTGTCTGTCTGTCTGTCTGTCTCTCCCTCCCTAAACACCCCCCTCCACCCCCCGACAGTTCCAGAGAGTACGCCTGGAGATACACAACACATGGCACCGCCATCTGCCGTCCTGTGCCACACCAACCTTTGCTTAGCCGAGGTGTGGACTTGACATTAGCTAAATAACTGGCTCTGCCATTGAGGACTAACAGGCCAATGTGATGCCAAGAATGTCACTTTAAAGACTCAAGAGGCCATCAGTGAGCTTTTCTTTTTTAATTTTCTGGGACTATCACAAATACTCTTTCAAGTGTGGGGAGCAAGGATGCCACTTTAAAGACTATGGCGTACTCAGTCCACAATAGGATACTTTCAATTCCTTTGTGTATATGTGAAAGTTAAACACTGAATAAGAAGAACCAAAGCATGCTTTGAGCCTTTGGTTTGTGATGTCGACAAAGAATACGGAATGTACCTTGGACTGCCAAAAGAAAAAAACACATCTGTGTCAGAGGAAGTGTGCCTGAGATGCAATGATGGTAAAATTTCATCTCACAAACTTTGGATATGAGATCAGAAATCTTTGGGGAAGGACATCATGCTCAGAAAAGAGGGTCAATGACAAGAGGAAGATCCTTAAGAGATGGACTGACACAGACACCGCATGAATGGAATTAAGCCCAGTGGCAACTGAGGATGATACAGCATCAGGAAGGGTTTCTTTCTGTCATCATGGGGTCATCATGAGTCAAAGCTGACTCAGAGGCACCTAACAACAACATATGGTGGACCAAGAGTTAAAGGAGAGGTGTGCTTGCTGGTCATCAGGAAACAGCAGAAGGGTTACCTGATGTCCTATTGAAATACAGAAACCAATCTTACAGGCTATTGTGGGTCGCTGGTGGCCTAGTGGGTAAGGAGTTGTGCTGCTAGCACAGAGGCATGCAGTATGAATCCACCAGCTGCTCAGAGGGAGAAAGATGACCAATCTCCCTCCATGAGATGTATAGCTTCTTAAAACCCACTGGAGGGTCTGCTGAGTATATAGGAAACTGAAGTTTGAGAAGAGACAGGGATGCCACGATATTAGATTTGTTGTTGTGGTTACGTGCCATTGAGTTACCTGTGTCTCCTAGAGACCCTATGTACAGCAGCTCTGAAGCCTGCCCTGTCCTGAACCAATCTCACTAACTCTGACACACTGACTCCCATTGTCCCAGTTACTATATCAATCCGTCTCATCCAGGGTCTTCCTCTTCTGCACTGTTCCTTCACCTTTCCCATCACAGCATGATGTTCTTCTCCAAGGACCAGTCCCTCCTGGTCACATGCCGAAAGTATGTGAGATGGAGTTTCAAAATCCTAGCCTCCATTGAAAGACTTGGTTTCACCCTCTCCAAGACAGACCTATTTGTTTTCTTGGCAATCCATGGTATGTTCAAGACTCTTCTCCAGCACCACAACTCAGAGGCATCCATTCTTTTTCTGTCATCTTTAGTCATTGTAAATGCTTGTCTGTCAGATGTTGTTCCAAAGCTAAGCATCCAAATGAAGACAAACTAGGAAGGATTGGCCACTCACTTCCAAAATATAATAGGCCTTCAAAAACCTGATACACAATAGAACACACATAGAATAACAGATATTGGACGTGCTATGCCTCAAATGAAAGCAGAGCACTCTGGTGGCTTAGGGGTAAGAGGCTGTGCTACTGACACAAAGGTGCATGGTTTGAACATACCAGCATAGCAGAAAAACTCCCTTCTGTGGGAGTAACAGTCTCTGAAAACCTGCTGGAGGGTCAGCTATGAGTCGGTTCCAACTCAGTGATCAACAACTACAAGTGAAAAGCTCACAGCCAAGCTGAACACATTCTTCCTGCAGAAGGGAGCCTGCATGATCCTTATAGAAACCAGCTCAGAGACCCAGCATCAAGCCTTTCTGACGTTACCTCCCCACCATGAGGCTGACGCTCGCTGTGACGCAGTTGTGTCAGGTATAGAGGCCCCACTCACCTGAAAGCCGACTCTTGAGCTTCATTTTACTGCTGCCCTGCTTGGGGCTTTCCAAGTTCCCCTTGGGCTCCTCGGTGCCGCACGGATCTTGGGACTCATCTGTCCTAGGCACCTGAAAAAGCAGAGATCACAGAGCTGATGGGAGAGACCATGAGGTAATTATGTCCTGTCTTCCCTTCAGGACTTATCTCAAGCCACAAGTGTCATGTGAGAAGAAAGGTTTATGGGATCAAAGCCCAGCCCTGTCAATAACCCAGAGCCCCACAGCCTCGCTGACAAGCTCCTCCTCAGCACACTTCTGAACAGAGAGAGAGCCGAGGAGAGTTCATGCGCTGGGGCCACCTGGACTCATGCTACACGTGGAAAGCTTGTGGGCTAAGGTGAAAGCTAAGTGGTCCATTCAGGTGGTGCCCACGACCACAACTCGATCCCTGATCTCTTGACTGGTTGCTAGCATTTTCTCTGACAACACAAGTTGCAACAAATATTCAACGAGGACTTAAAAAAGCAAAGTATATCCGCAAAGATGATGAAGCTTCATCTCACATATTTTGGGCATGTTGCTTCTTGCTGTTGTTGTGTGTCATCGAGGTGCTTGCAACTCATAGCAACTGTACGTACGACAGCTCTGAAACCAGCTCTGTCTTGAGCCAACTTCATTGACTCTGACACACCTACCGTCATTACCTCAGCCACTGAGTCCATCCATCTCATTCAGGGTCTTCCTCTCTCATGCTGTTCCTCTACCCTCCCAAGCATGACGTCCCTCTCCGAACTCCTTGCAACATACCTAAAGTACGTCAAACTCCTCATATGCAAGTTCAAATTGAAAGTGAAGAAAATGAGAACATGTTCACAAGAAGCAAAATAGGACCTCGAGTTTATCCTAACCGAACTTAAAAACTATCTCAAAACTAGGTATGATGTATTGAAAACAAAGACCAAAGACCAGATGAGTTATGGGATGACATCAAGGACATCATCCAGGAAGAAAGTAAGAGGTCATTACAATGACAAGGAAGGAAAAAAAAAAAGACCAAAATAGATGCCAGAGAGACACTCAAACCTGCACTTGAAGGTGGAGAGGTCAAACTAAAGGGAAGACACACTGACGCATAAGAGTTGAATGGAAATTTTTGGAAAGAAGATGCAAAGTATTATAATGAAATGCTCAAAGAGCTAGAAAATGGGAAAGGAAGAGCTTTCTCAGCATTTCTTACACTGGAAGACCTGAAGAGCAAATCAGTCTTCAACTTGCAATAGTGCAGGTATCTCCTGGAAAAATCTTGAATGATGCACGAAGCATCAAAAGAAGATCAAGAACAGAGTCACTATCAAAAGGGATGAGTCAAAACAGAACCATTTCCGGAAGAAGCACATCATCAAGAAGTGATGAAGGAAGACCTTCAAGCTGCACTGAAGACAATGGCAAAAATAAGGTCCCGGAAGTTGATGTAATACCAAGTGACATGTTTTAACAAACTGTAAGCAGCCTTGGGCATGTTCACCCGGCTGTGGCAAGAAATTTGGAAGGCAGCTACCTGGCTAACTGACTGGAAGAGATCCATATTTGTTCCCATTCCCAAAAAAGGTAATCAAACAGATTGTGTACGTCAAATCTTACTGAAAGTTATTAAAAAAACTGCTGATTAATATATCAACAAAGAACGGCCAGAAATTCAAGCTAGATTTAGAAGAGGCTTGTGGAACAAAGTATATCACTGCTGATATCAGGTAGATCTTGGCTAAAAGATGAGAAGGCCGGAATATTTACTTAAGTTTTCTTGGCTATGCAAAGACATTGACTGTGTGAATCATAACAAAATATGATTAACATCAAGAAGAATGGGAATCCCAGCACACCTCAGTGTGTTCATGTGAGAGTGATACATAGACCAAAAAAGCAGCTGTTAAATGGAATAAGGAAATATTTCCTGGTTTAAAAATCAGGAAAGGTGTGCTTCAGGGCTTGATATCTATTAAATCTATATGATGAGCAAATCATTCAAGAGGCTGGACTATATGTGGTGTTAGGATCACAGGAAGACTCATCAGCCTCCTGTGTTATGCAGATGACACCACCTTACTTGCTGAAAGTGAAGACTTGAAACAATTACCAAATATCAAAGGCTACAGCCTTCCATATGGTTAAATACCAGAGGCCAGCAGTTGGAACTCACCAGTCATTCCATGAGAGCAAGAAGTGGCAGGTGCTCACATACTTACCTCCTTGGAAACCATTTAGGCAGTTCTATTCTTATCTGGAGTCCCTAGGAGTAGGAATCTTACTTGATAGCATGGTTGTTTCTAATTTTGTTTTGTTCTGACAGATGAAGACAAAACGGAAGGCACACTTACTATGTCTTAAAAAAAACCAAAGACATATCTAGGATCAAGGATAGACCATAGGAGGAGAGAATAGAAGTATAAAGTAGAGTGGTGTAGAATTGTAATTTATACCATGCATATAAAAATTAGTGATGAATTCTAAATCCTTACGATGTAAACAAAAAGACTGTAAGCCTTATTCAAATGTTCAAAAGTGAGATGGTTGAGAAGAGAGTCCAGCCATAAATAGCAACGCTTTCTTGCCTTCTTTTTTCAATCCTATAAATGCACTCAAGAATTAGTGGCTAGGACATGCAAAATATTAATATGACTATGTAAGGAAAGAGAAGAGATAGAGGTTGTTGACAGATTGCTCGGCTCCAGAATCAATACTCTTGGGACCAGCAGTCAGGAAATCAAAAGATGAATTGCACTGGGAAAATATGCTGTCAGGGACCTTTCCAGAGTGATGAGAAGCAACGATGTCAGTCTAGAGACTAAGGTGCACCTGATCCAGGCCATGGTCCTTGCAATTACTTGAGCTGGACAGTGACTAAGGATGACAGAAGAATTCATGCCTTAAAACTATGGTGCTGGAGAAGAGTCTTGAACATACCACGGACTGCCAAGAAAACAAAGCAGTCTGTCTTAGAGAAGGTGAAACCAAGTTTCTCCTTGGAGGCTAGGATTTTGAAGCTCTATCTCACATACTTTGGGCACATGGCCAAGAGGGACTGGTCCTTGGAGAAAGAGCTGGGAAGGGTGGAGGGACAGTGCAGGAGAGGAAGACCCCAGATAAGATGATATAGTAACTGGGGCAATATGGTAACTGGGGGTAGGTGTGTCGGAGTCAGTGAAACTGGCTCAGGATAGGACAGGCTTCAGAGCTGCTGTACTTAGGGTCGACTGCACAGAACAACAACAAGGACGACAAGCCAAAGAATCTCATGGAAGTGATGATGTCTGTTGCCTCACTACTGAACATCTATAGAGAAAACCAGGCAGAATAGGTCTATAGTAACACGAAACCTTGCAAAAAAAAATGCACTCTTGAGGCAGGAGGGAGCTTATTTCAGAACTCATTAGAATTATTAGTGTAGGATTCCAATAGCATGGCTGGCTTTTATAACAGAAAAGTGGTTTGTTAAATCTTAGGTGTCTTGTAACTCTACAAATGGAAGCGAGCTGCTTCGTCCGATTAGCTCCCAGTTGTTTCTAGCAAGAGATAGAAAAGGGCAAAGTGCAGTTTTGAGCTACTTACTCAGCTTAATGGCTTTGAAAATGCCCTTGGTCCTAGAGAATCCAGATACACAGAAGGGGAAAAGGTTCTTAGTTGCTCTAGACTAAAATATGCATAAAGTTCTCCTGGAAGGCCTTCAGTTCTGAGAAATAGCTGACACAATCTATTATTTAAGAGCAGTTTCTAATTCTTGGGTTACAAAACAAGCCCATTATATTACTGGAATCCCATACCATTTGCCAATTTCCATGCTAGGCCCTCTCTGTCTGCAAAAGTGCCTCTGATGTTCTCTCTATGAATATCTGTCGCCTATAGTTTTGGCTTTAGCAAGACTGCATGTTTCTCCCCCAGAGCTGCCAGTGGAAACAAAAGCACTGGAGACACAACCTTTGGATTAGCAGCAAGATTCCCTACAAGCCATGCCACCAGAGCTGTCGGCAAAGGGTATACAATAGCTCACGGACGGCGAAAAGGACACACAGGTGTGGCTGGGAGAAAGAAACCTGGGTGCTTCTCAGAGGTAAAGGTGGTGAATCTTCATCTCACATACTTCGGACATGCCGTCAGGAAGGGCCAATCTTTGGAAGAAGACTTCGTGCTGGGAACGGCGGAGAAGACTCTCAAAGAGATGGACTGAAACAGTGATTGCCACAGTGGGCTTGAGCATGGTGGACATCAGGATGACCATGCAAGAGAGAACAAGGTGTTTTCTTTTTTTTTCTTTTTATTATTTTATGTGTCTGGTTTTGACCTATTGTTCATGGACAGTGATAGCACCTAACAACAACAACAACAGCAACAACAACAACTCCTCTTCCCTTTTCTTGCTCTTATAGGTCTGTCTGGAAAAATGTCAATACTAAGCTGACACAAAATTTTCTTTGGGACTGTCCTGTCATTATGGCTTCTGTAAAAAATGACTATAACTTCAGTGGCTTAACACAACACAACTTTTTATATCTTTTGTTGTTGTTGTTCGCCATCAAGATGGAATGAAACCCACTGGTGGGTTTTCAGAGTCAGTTAATCACACAGGAGGAAGTTGCCCAGCCTCACAAAGAACAGCTGGTAGATTTGAACCACATGCCTTTGGGACTGCAGCACAGTTTGTTACCGTAGGCCACCAGAAACTCCCTTAAATATCTTTTAGTAATTATAACACAACAACAATAAACGCAGCTTAACTTAGGACTTAAGAGTTGTATGGGTTAGAGATTCAGTATGGGTCTTTCCAGGCTAACATTGGGGTCTGGCAGGCTGTGTTCTGTTTTGGAAGTCTTGGGGGAAAACACACTTTTTGCCCCTTGGCTTCCTAGAGGTTGCATACATGCCTTGGCTACGGTCCCCCCACACCACTGTCATAGCGAGCAACACAGGGTCACAAGCCCTTCTCACTGCATCCCACTCTGACTCTTGCTTCTCCTGTGTTTTTAAGGATTTGGACTACATTGAGTTTGTTCAGATAATCCAAGATAATCTCCCAATTTTAAAATCAGCAGATTAACAACTTTAATCTCATCTGTGGTTTTAATTTCTGTTTGCCA